ATGCACACCTAAAATCGCGACTGAATAAACGACATACTATCCTGAACAAACTAAAAGAAAAGACTCAGTTAACTTATAGAAGAAAAAATAAGAATAAAGATAAACATAGATCAAATCATATCAAACTAAGACACTGATTCGGACTAGCAGGTCACTATTTCAGTCACAACAACACAGAACACTCTTGGCCTGAAACAAACGAATAAACAATCAAGGGTAAAGAGCCGTACCTTTCTCGGAGCAGCGAACTCGGGACGGCGAATGGTAAACAACGAAGTTCCATCACCAAACTCAAACACGAATAATCGACTGGACCTGGGCAAAATCTCAAATCCGAAGGAACTTGGAGGGAACGAGAGTTAACGAGAGAAACAATGGCACTTCCAATTGGAATCGAATACTTCTTCCCTTTTATGAACGTATTTGTTTGAGTAGCTCTTTTACTGTGCTATGCTCCTTCTTAGTAAAAAAATTCCCACTCCAAAAAAAAAAAAAACCTTCAACTGAAGATGTAAGAAACATATATAGCAGGGAAATTAGGGTTCCAAAGTTGGGGGGAAACGGATAGATTTCGGATAGGAGTGAGACCTACCCAAAATTCAAACTTCAAAAATCTTTCCCCATTGAAGGGAGGCCTCTTTTTCTGAAATTCTCGCCCCCATTTCAGAAGAGGAAAGGGGAGAAACGCGGCTGGGATCGACTCCCATGTACTCGATGTGCCACGCGGCTCAATCCCAAGGCTTAAGGATGATCTCGCGTGTTGCTCTTTTCTGCTGCGACTGAGAAGGACATTGGAGGAGGAGAACAAAGGAAAGGATACGCGTACTGCTCCTCGTAGACAACGTGAGCACGCCGTGTATTCTCATTTGAATTGGAGACGGGTAGGTGTCATTTTTTTGTTGTTTGTGCCGCGTTTTGCTACTGCTGCTTCCGTCTATTCGACACTGTTTCATGTTGCTGGAATCGTTGTGAATTTGCTCTGTTCAGTCGCTGTGAGGTTGAGTACCTGGGTCTCTTTAGAATTATAAAGTGGGCCGGGTCAGTTGGGGAATTGGGCTGCTGAAACATGGAAAACAAAAGGGAATTGGGTCTGGGAAAAGTGGACTGCTGAAAAGTGATAGAAGAAAAGGCCCAAAACTTTGATTTCTTAAGATGGGTTGACTAGAATGTTTCATTTTGGCTAAAAATTGTAACCAAACAATAGCTCAAATAAATTTCGGAGGTAGCCAACTCGAATTTGATTGATGAAATTGGCCTAAATTTACACAAAATGAATTAATACAAAATAATAAAAGCTTCTTACTCTTAACGAAATAAAATAATTAACTTAATTATAAACTAATGATTCAAAACTATAGCTATAATTTAAACTAAGGTAATTTAATAAACTACTTACTGAAATTTTAAAAAAAAATTGAGATGAATTTTGAAATGTTTTTAAAATTATACTAATTATACAAAATATATATATTACTTAAAAATTATACAAAAATAAATAAAATTAATTAAAAGTAACTTGAAAAATATTTGAATTTTATAAAAACAAATTATTTCAAGTTGCCTGGAGTTTAGGAAGCTCGAAGATTAATTTATATTGTGGAGGTCCAAAATTAGGTGTCAACAACTGTCCCTCGTTTTACTTGGATTGATGCAAGAAATTCAAGGAAAATGAAATTGATTAATCCAATTTTGACCGACCACATCTTCATCCTTTGGAAAAGGAATTTTGGTACGGACTTTGAAAATTATGGCCGAACCCGAAAATGAGTTTCCTACATATCTCAGGTTATATAAGAATTCAGGCCACTGGTAGTTCGATATACTTGATTTGATGCACGATTTTTGAAAGAATTCAAAAGCCATCGTGATGCCAAATCATGAAGGCATCAAAACGCTCGGGGATAAGATTTGAGCGCGGATGTTGGAATACAACCGAGTTTTTAACATTGATTTCGCCTACATATCCCTCAACTTAGGGAATCAGGCTGCTTGTAGTTTGACTCGATCGGTTGAAAAGGAGATCTATTATGCTAGATCACCTTTGTTTCCGGAAAAGCGACAAAGTAAGTCGAGTATGAAAAAGAGGCTTGCAACCTCTTAGCTATGAATGTGGCACGCTTCACACCCATAACTAAGAACTTACACGGACATAATTTCCAGAGCTCTTGGTGCATTGTCACTTAGATTTGAAAGCTGCTTCCGGTAAAGACCAAAAAAATTCCGGATGCAAAATTGAAACGAGGAAACCTAAAGAAAAACCCACATGCCTTTTGATAGAGGTGTGGTTTGATTGTGGTGGAAGTCACTCCTCTGCTCGCGTCGTAAGAGTTTGGCACTCCTCTTTGGACTATGTCCCAGTTCGCTGCTAAGAAAAAGTTCCACATTGTGCTGCATCCTTTTTGATGTCGTTCGCACCTGTGGTTTGTTTTGAGAATTCATTCTCTCAGATGCTCTCGACAAAGACTGAGATAAAACTCATTAACATAAAATGCAATTCAAATGAAGAGATAGTGTCTTTTACCGTGTTGACACTTAATTGCTCTCCTTGAACATTTGACGTCAACTCTGTCGGGTTTGACGTGAAGTAAATAAATCTTGTGTCTCATATTTGCGATATAATCTTCAATGTACTCTTCATTTGATGTCAAAGCAATAAAATGGCTGATGTAATATGTTGACAGTTTTCTAGATGTTGTCTTCGTAAAGAAAAATAATGCAGTCGATGTTGATCTTCTTGTGATGGGTAAATATTTCTTTTGCGATGCATAACTCTTTATCTTGCGATGCGTGGCTCTTCTCTCTCGCGATGCATGACTCTTTTCTCTTGCAATGCATGACTCTTTTCTTTTGCAGCGCATGAATCTTTTCTCTTGCAATGTATGACTCTTTTCTTTTGCAATGCATGACTTTTCTTCTTGCGATGCATGACTTCTTTCTCTTGCAATGCATGACTTATTTCTCTTGCAATGCATGACTTCTCCGTGATGCATGACTTCTCTCTCTTGCTATGCATGACTTCTTCGGGATGCATGACTTCCTTTGCTTGCGATGCATGACCTCTTTTCTTTGCGATGCATGACCTTTTCTCTTGTTATGCATGGCTTCTTGTTCTTGCTATGCATGACTTCCTTCTTTTGCGATGCATGACTTCCTTCTCTTGCGATGCATGACTCTTCTCTTGCTATGCAAGATTTCCTTCTCTTGCTATGTATGATTTCCTTTCCTTGCGATGCATGACTCTTTCTCTTGCTATACATGGCTTCTTCTTCTTGCTATACATGAGTTTTTCTCTTGCGATGCATGACTTCCTTCTCTTGCGTTGCATGATTTCCTTCTCTTGCTATGCGTGATTTCCTTTCCTTGCGATGCATGACTCTTTCTCTTGCTATGCATGACTTATTCTTCTTGCTATACATGAGTTTTTCTCTTGCGATACATGACTTCCTTCTCTTGCGTTGCATGACTCTTCTCTTGCTATGCATGATTTCCTTCTCTTGCAATGCATGAATCTTTTGATAATGCCTCCTTGATACCGAACGAAGATAATGCTTCACCGAGCAACATAGGTGATCTTCTGGGTATCTTTTCGAGTAGTGGTATCGTCTCAATAGACAATATAAATAAAAATGACCCTCGGAGTAGTGGTATCATCTCATTTGACAATAAGATATAAATGACTCTCCGGATAGTGGTATCGTCTCATTCGACAATACAATATAAGTAACCTTCAGTGTAAGAAAATTATCATATTTGACAATATAATGCTGATAGACATCTTCCAGGTATCTCTAATTGCTGGAAAATAATAATATTGCTTTCTTCGTGGTTTTCATTTGTTCCATCTCCGAACATAGTTGCAATGTTCACTATGGACCTTGCCTTGTTGGGAATTAAATGAAATAATATTATTCATATTCCAAAATCTTTGATATAAGCAACATAAAATATTTCCTGCATCTACAGAAAAATTGTCAGTTTTAGGGAGCTCCTCGCCCTTTTGACATCTCCATATTCGTTGAATGGAAGAACATGCTGATTTTGAGGCAAACCTATAGACCTGCATCCACAGTAAAATTGTTAGTTCTTTAAAAAATGAACTGATCTGTGTCGATCTCTTCGGTTGTCTGCTCCTTGTCTTGCTATCTCCAGTTGATTTCTCTGATCTCCCGCTTCTTGATTGATAAGACAAAACATTTTTATGCAAAAATAATTGAAATATGAAGGAAAAGTTTTAAGAAAAAATAGATTTTCAAAAAGTAGCATTTGGAAAAGGTCACTGCCAAGTGTCATGTCACGTCACGTCAAGCTTAGTGAACGTCATTTGGAGTTGAAGTTTTGGGATCTATCTGATTACTTGTTGGGAAGTATTCAAAGTTCTTCCAAACTGCCGATGAACCCTATGGAAATTTTGAGGCCATCCTCAAAATTTCTATCCTAGTTAACTGTCTTGGCTCATCTTTAACTGCTGGTGAGCAAATCACGGAATATTTTAGATCCTCTCAAAAATTCTGTTCCAGTTGCAAATCTCAAAGTAATTTCAGTCTTGACTTTGTTGGAGACATCTTCTACTTGAGAATTTTTTAGTTCCTCTCAAAAATTCTGTCCTAATTTCTATTGTGAAGAGAAATGAAAATCTTACGGGAAATATGACCGAGCCGTTATGGCGCCTACGTATCCCGTTGAGGCAAGAATCAGGTCAAACGTAGTTCCCCCTCACGGATTAACAGAAAATAAGAAATTTACAAAAAAACCGACCGAGGCCGACATAGGCCTCTTACGTATCTCATTCTTGAGAATTCAGGTCGAACGTAGTTCAAACACAAGGAAATTATTAAAAGGGGATAAAAGGGTGACCGAGGTCAACATAGGCTGCCTACGTATCTCATTCTTGAGAATTCAGGTCAGACGTAGTACATTACAAGAGGCATAAAATTCTGAACGAAGCGATTACAAGCCAATAAAATGAATACAAGGAAATAACAGCAAAACATATTGAAACTTCACACATAGTATCTCTTGACAGCATCTGAATTGATCAGTTTCGGCCATTCGGTGCCATCCATCTCTGACAGGATCAAGGCACCTCCAGATAACACTTTGCGAACCATGTAGGGCCCTTGCCAATTTGGTGCAAATTTTCCTTTGTACTCATCCTGATGAAGGAAAATGCGTTTGAGAACCAACTAACCAATCTCAAACATTCTGGCTCTTACTTTCTTGTGGAAAGCACGAATCATTCTCTGTCGATACAGATGTCCATGACAAACAACAACCATTCTCTTCTCATCAATCAATGTTAACTGATCGATCCGCTTGCGAACCCATTCAGCATCACTCAATTTAGCTTCTTGAATGATTCTCAATGAAGGTATTTCAACTTTTGCAGGTATAACTGCTTCTATTCCATTTACCAACAGATATGGAGTAGCTCCAACTGATGTTCTGACGGTCGTTCGGTAACCCAACAAAGCATATGACAACATCTCTTGCCAACCTCTGCGATTATCAATCATTTTCCTCAAAATCTTCTTTATGTTCTTGTTGGCAGCTTCTACGGCTCCATTTGACTGTTGAGATTCGCTCCATTGTCAGTAATGATGGATTCTGGTACTCCAAATCTACATATCAGATTGTTGCGAACGAAATCAGCTACAACTTTCTTGGTTACCGACTTGTACGAAGCTGCTTCCACCCACTTGGTGAAGTAGTCAATGGTAACCAAAATGAATCTGTGTCCGTTAGAGGCGGCTGGCTCTATCGGACCGATGACATCCATGCCCCAAGCTACAAAGGGCCAAGGTGAACTCATAGCATTAAGTTCGTGAGGTGGCACTCGAATCAAATCTCCATGCACTTGACATTTATGACATTTTTGCACATACTTGCAACAGTCATGCTCCATAGTCATCCAAAAATAATCGGCGCGAAGGATCTTCCTAGCCAAAGTGAGCCCATTCATGTGAGTACCACAAATTTCGGCATGTATCTGGTCCAGAAGCTTTGCAGCTTCATTAGCATCAACGCATCTGAGAAGACCTAAATCTGGAGTCCTCCTGTAAAGGATTTCCCCACTTGCAAAGAAATTGAGGGTCATGCGGCGTATCGACTTCTTCTGGTTGAACGTTGCATTCTCAGGATAAGTCCCATCCTTTAAATACTTCTTGATGTCAAAATAACAAGGCAGACCATCTGGTTCCACTTCAACATGTGAACAATTGACAGGCTGCTCTTTTACCTCTATATCCACTAGATCAATATAACTTGTATCTGGATGTTTAATCATTGAGGCGATGGTAGCAAGAGCATCAGCCAACTCATTCTGTGTCCTGGGAGTGTGTTTGAACTCAATCTTGTAAAATCTTTTGCACAACTTCTGTATATACTGCACGTACGGTGTGATCTTTGGGTTCTTTACGGCCCATTCTCATTGAACCTAATGAATCAGCAAATCTGAATCACCAATAACCAGCAACTCGTGAACATTCATATCAATTGCCATCTTCAGACCGAGGATGCAAGCTTCATACTCAGCCATGTTGTTCATGCATTCAAAACGGAGTTTAGCCCCCATAGGAGAGTGCTGACTAATTTCTGACACTAAGACCACTCTGATTCATTTCCCTTGATGATTCGCTGCTCCATCAAAGAACACTCTCCAACCAGGGTACGCCTCAGAAATATCCTCACCCACAAATGTTATTTCTTCATCTGGAAAATAAGTCTTGAGCGGTTCATACTCTTCATCAACTGGATTCTCTGCAAGATGACCAGCCAAGACTTGTGCCTTTATCGCCTTCTGAGTCACATACACAATGTCAAACTCATTCAAAAACATTTGCCATTTAGTCAACTTCCCGGTCAGCATTGCTTTCTGGAAAATATTCTTCAACGGGTCCATCCTGAAAATAAGGTATGTGGTATAAGAAGACAAATAATGTCTTAACTTTTGAGCAATCCAAGTCAAAACACATCATGTTCTCTCCAAAAGAGTGTAACGAGCCTCGTATGGAGTGAATTTTTTGCTCAAGTAATAAATGTCTTGCTCCTTCTTCCCAGTCTCATCATGTTGACCAAGCATGCATCCCAATGCATTATCCGAGACCGACAAATATAGCAATAACGGAATCCCTTCTCACGGAGGAACTAACACCGGTGGATTGGACAAATAGTTTTTGATGGCGTCAAAAGCAGTTTGACATTCTCCGGTCCACTTGGTCGAGACATCTTTTTTCAATAACTTACTCTTTCTTGGTCTTCGGAAGAGGTAATTCTTGGATCACCTTGATCTTGGAAGGGTCCAGCTCGATGCCCCTCCTGCTGACTATAAATCCCAACAACTTGCCAGCTGGCACTCCAAAAGCATATTTGGCGGGATTTAACTTCAAATTGTATCAACGTAGATGATCAAAGAATTTCCTCAAGTGAGTCAAGTGATCCGAACTCTCGCGGGACTTGATTATGACATTATCTACATACACCTCGATCTCCTTATGAATCATATAGTGAAAAATGGTCGTCATAGCCCTAGCACCGGCATTTTTTAGACCAAACGGCATCACCCGATAATGATATACGCCCCAAGGCGTAATGAAAGCTGTCTTTTCTGCATCTTCTTCGTCTATCAGGATCTGGTGGTAACCCGCATAACAATCCACAAATGACTGCATCTCATGCTTAGCACAGTTATCAATAAGAATGTGGATATTTGGTAATGGAAAATTATCTTTCGGGCTAGCTTTGTTGAGATCTCTGTAGTCAACACAAATTCTGATTTTTCCGTCTTTCTTGGCAACCGAAACAACATTAGCCAACCAAGTCGGATACTGCGTCACTTCCACTACTTGAGACGCGATCGAATTTGTAATCTCCTCTTTGATCTTCAAACTCAACTCAGGCTTGAACTTCCGAGTCTTTTGTTTTACTGGACTGAAATCTGGGTTAATCAGCAACTTGTGGGACACCATATTCGTACTTAATCCTGGCATATCTCTGTAAGACCAGGCAAACACATCAACGTACTCCCTGAGCAAATGGACCAGGTCTCTCCTTTGAGCTTCAGTTAGATGGACACTGATTCTTACTTCTTTAACACATTCCTCATCGCCGAGATTCACAGTTTCGGTTTCTTCCAAATTTGGCTTGTGTTGATTCTCGAATTGTCAAAACTCCTCAGCAACATGTTCGGGTACCTCATTTTATTCTTCATATTCCTCACACTCATCATCACCTGCCTCATTTCGTTCACTCGGTTCATGACATGACATGACATTGGCAGGTTTAAATTAATATTACTGAAATCATAAACAAACAAAGTTAGGAAGGTAAAATATAAACAGATAAGTAAACAAACAAATTTTGATAAAAGAGGATTTTCATTTAAATTGAAAATCTACCACCGATTGCATAAAGGTTGGGTCTCAGGCCTCTTCCGGACTACCACCGATTTTAAAACAAACAAAAACGCATGTCCTATCTACCCAGATGAGCGGGAAATCAGGAGTGGTGTGGAGGTCCAGTTCTGCATTTGCTCATCAGGTTCTGCATCACGGATGCCTGATGTCCCAGCCTCTTCCTCGATGACCGCATCAATATCCTCAAAAAGGCCCCAGATTCCTTCCCCGAGACCACCATCGTCGGCGTGCTCCCGCGCCGGGAATGATTGGTACAGATGAGGAATTGGCCTAGCCAATGCTTGATCAACACTCTTGTTCTTCATCTCTGCTTTGTCAGCATCTGTGGGGACATATCCCAAACCAAACTTTACTCCTCTAGCGGGAACTTGAATAGGCTCGACAATTCCTTGGAAATGCTTTCCCAACCCGAAACCTGGTTTGAAACCATTCTGGAGAATGATGGTAGCAATCATCTTGTACACGACAGGCATAAGATGTTGTGGAGCCAAATCATCACCGGTGACATTTACCAGCTCCACCGTGTAGAAATCACAACCTCGGGAAACCTCGTGGACGATCAGCGCATACCCATCAGAGTGACTCCCCTCACCATGAATGACCAATTCCTGATGTCGCACCCTATTTCGAACAAGCCGAAACAGTTCACAACATAATACGGCTGTCACTCTGATTTTGGAAAAAATGTTTTTTTTCGTTTTAGAGTCGCCACCTAAATTTGAAGGAAAATATTAGGAAAACCATTTTTTTAATATGTAAATGTAAACTCTGTTTTGATTTGCGAAACCAGTGAGATTCTGAGCAAGGGTTTTGGTTACTCAAGGGGAAGATGTTAAGCACCCCTCAGAGCCTATCCGAAGATAGTCCTTAAACTCAATTTAGGAAAATATGATTAGGAAAACTTGTTTATTTATTTTCTTTAAAAATCAATGATAAGTTAATTGGTTATTTTAAGAAAAGAGAATAAAATACAAGATACGACATATATATGCCTTATAAAATAGATTTAATAGTAGTTTTTTTTATCATGTAAAAATAAATAAATAAATGTACTTAAAAGTATGATAAATTTATATGTAAAAATATATATGGATGTGTCATAATAAAATTATCCTAAAAGTATATAGATGTTGAATTTGCGAGAACATGTCGTCTTATTGAGACGTGAAAAAATAAGATAGTAGTTGGGTATGAATACATAGTAATATGTGATGTGTAATTTGAATGAAAATATATAAAATGGAGTTTTTTAAAAATAAAATAAAAATAAATCATAAATAATACTAAATGTTTAAATATTATATAAAGCTTGTGATCTTAAATATATTTATTGTAAAGTATAGTATATACATGTAAGCTGTTTAAAACATATGAACATTTATTATTTATTTACGTGTTTTAGAAAAATTGGCGATAGATTATACGTAGTACAGTAATACGTATATCTAAGTGTAAGCATTTATAAATTATAAAAATAAATAAATAATATTAGTAACAAAGATAATAATAGGTTATATAGAGAAGATAAAAAATATAGAGTATATACCTTTATATGTATGACATGTATATGTATGTACCTTGTATTTTGAACTTGTTGGCTTATCTAAAATCATGAAATAACATGTGAAGAAATAAAATGTTTTAACAATATTGATTTGAAAAGTGATAATAACAAATATATTTTCATAAAAGTTGATGTAAAGAATAAAAAAAAAGGGCTAGCTATTGGTTACCCATCCCAACTCATGGTCGTTCGGTCCTTACCTCCAAATGTTTTAAAAGCGACGCCTAAGTATTTCAAAAAGGTGAATAAGGAGGACAAATTTTCAGCATATATAACACTTGTTTTTCTAAAAAAAAGGGTATTGTATTTCATTTTTAAAAAAAAACATTTTTTATCTCTTAAATCTACCTATTTAAAGGCCTCCAAAGAGTTGCGTTTTTACTCTAAATGAATCAACATTTTTACCAAAAACAATCTTATCTATAAGTTCTAAGAAAATATGTGTTCTTGTCTTCAAGGTTGTGATTTTTAACACATGAATTACTATACTTTGAAGCCCTTAAAACGTGGTGTTCTAAACCTTAAAAAAATCTGCACCCATTTAGAACTAAAATACGTCATTTTGATCCCAAAATGCTGCGTCATAAAGACTCCCATAACAAAAACGTTTTTGCTCTAAAAATACATATTTGTACTAAAAATCTGCTCTCTAAAAAAACTGCTATTTTTACCTCTCAAAATCTAGAATTTTCAAGCTAAAACCTGCATTTTTACCTCTTAAGATCTGGAATTTTTCAAGCTAAAATCTTCACTTTGGACCTCAAAAATCTGCATTCATTAAGTTGCTAAAAAATCATTATTAACTCTTATTGAAGCAAATCTTAAATGGATACATTCTCATTTTAAAGAGATAAACGGAAGTTGTTTCCAAGTTCACTTTTCTTAAAGGTTAAGCTTTCACAACCAAAAGATATAATAGATGAAAAAAATTTCTTTGGAAAGCGTCGTCATAAGCCAAATGGTCATACTAAAACCCAAATATCTAGAGGAATGTGAGATGGACGACTGCATCTTACTCTCATTCTAGTTAGTTTGTACAAATCCAAACACAAATAGGAGCAATCAAAAAATATAAATGTTAAATACTAATATGTAAAACGTTAGCCGAAGTAACCGCGCATATATGTATATATAAAAAATGTAAAGCTTTGAACTAAAATAGGAAGCGTTGACACTATTGATGAGATGAGGGCTGCTAGACACGAGCAAATAATGTAGGCTATTAGTCGCTTCTCTGAATTGGACAGAGATGTAGTCATATACTAACTCCAAACACGCTCCCGAGTGTACATGTGACAAACAAAGAAGAAATAGAATTAGCGACTGAATTTTAGGTTCATCAAAGACATGTAAAATAAGTATTATGTAGTTGTAGGTAGGCATACTGTAAATATACTCAAAAAAAAAGCAACAACATAATACTATTCTCGCAATTCCTTGACGACATTTAAGTAATTAGTATACCAAAGACTTTAATCAATCTAGAGAGAAACATCACAAGAAGAGTCGGGGGAAGAGGTGAACACTTGTATTATTTTATGATCTTGGTATACAATTAAAGGAAGAGCCACTGGAAAGCTAATCAATCAAATTATTTTGGATAGTAAAGTACTATCTTAACTATAAAGTCGTAAAATAAGGACTGAAGAGAGATCATCTTAACTGATCACTAAAAATCAATCCACAATACTACTAGATTAAAACTAGTCACTCGAGAACTCTTTGGATTAGTTCTTGTAGAATAATAAAATCAGCCCCTCCAAATGGAGGATATGTATAAACCAAAATTTTCACATATCTTGAATCAAGGATTACGTTTCGGTTAACTATGTAAAATGACTAGACATTTATCCATACTCTTATATTTTCCAGATCTTCAAACAGGGGAGGGGGATGGAAGATTAGGAAGAGCTGATCTTGAGAGTTCGAAATGGCTCATTCAGACTTAGAAAATGATTATTTAGGCAAAATTTTGATTAAAAAAATAATCTGAAACATACTATGGAGTTGACGTCAAAGATATAAAATTAAGTGTGGTAAAGAGCTGGAAAAATACTAGGTATAGTTTCAACCAAGTTATAGTCCTAAAAAATTATACATAAAAATAGAACTTGAGAGGAGTTACAAACATTCAAAACATTACGAGTAACGACCTGAATTAATAATACTATGAAGGAAAGGTAGAAATATTCACAAAAAGGGTCAAAGTTTAAGGAAAACACTACATAAAGCATTTATTTAACTAAGAGAAAACACTATAAACTCAAAGCTAATCAAGGTCATTCTTGAAGCGAATAAAGATTAACCACTATATTAATTATTTAAAGCTAGCAAGCTGTAAAAGAGGAAAGGCTAAGGCATTGATTAACAAGATCAGGGGACAAAATAAATACTAACTTAAACAAATATGTGTGTCCTATTGAACCAATGATGGTCTCGTCCTAATTTTAAGAGGTAATAAACAGAGAAAAGAGAAGTAACAAAACTTAAATTGGACAATTTATTAAACCATTTTTCAAATCGATTTCAATAAAACAATTTGATATGGATCCCGAGGACACGAACAACTAACAAACTGATTCGAACATCCAAGAACACTGATGACTATCGCATATCTAATAGATTCATAACAAGCAAAACCATACTAAGAACGAGTAAACCAATTCAAAACTACTTATGATAAAACTAGGAAGACTAAGCAAACAGGAGCATTAGCAAGCTATGATAATAACCACAATACGTAACTGCGCCTAACTAATGTTCACATGTTAAAAAAGAAATTAGAATTACAGGGGATCCAAGCATAAACAGGGAACTTCAAAGAAATTTAAATCAGCAAATTACAACAACTACATACTCGCAGAATCAAAGAAAACGTACTATGGGATCAACGCAGATTAAAAACAGAAATTAAAGTAGCTATAAACAAAGGAAAAAGAGATTACCTTCTTTGGAGCAGCAAACTAAAGCTTTGACGTCAAAGATTCCAACTTCGAACTCCTTTCCCGAACTCAAACTCGAGAAGCAAAGAGAAAAGAGACAAACAAACAGCTGATTCTCGGATTTCTGGATTGTTTTTCTCCCTGTTTCTGGATAATTTTATTTTTGAATGTTCATGGATTTTTCTCGATTCTCTCTTGATCCTTTCGAACGGGAAGGCCCTACCCTTTTATAGGTGAAATCAGACTTCAAAGTCGGATTTGAAATCCAAAAATCGTTGGGGGCGAAGGGTTGCAACTAAAATCAAATCGACATCAACTTTACAGATTTTTGGAGCCGTTGGGATCAGGCATAGGCGGCATAGGGTGTCTCTTTTCATCAAGAAGGGGTGATGGAGGAGACATAAAGCAAGAAACCGCTGGATATTGTTGTTTTCCGGCGATTCATGGCCGAACTTGACGGGACGAAGGAATGACGGGGCATGGGGAACGGCAGCGCGTAGCGTACAGACGCCTGGGGAAGGAGGAGAAAGAGAGGGGCGTCGTCCCTTTTTTCTGGAAAAAGAAAAACACGTTGGGGAGTCGTAGGTGTGTGGAAGAAGCGTGTTTCTGGGAAAAGAAAAGTCTGCAACGGCTGATGGGTTGTACTATTTTGGGAAGGATGAAAAACTTGGAATTTAATTTGGGGCCGTCCGATCGTTTGATCGGATAGTTAAAATAAATCAGAAATTAAAAGAAAAGTTATATATATATTAAATAATGGTAAAAGCTTAATTAACTAGGACCATTAGATTTAATCGTAAGGTCAAGATTTAAGCTAAAGAAGCACAATCCATGTGCTTGCCTACGTGGCATACATAGATTGGTCGGTTTAAGAAGACTTGGATTGCCAAATTTGTTCAAGTTAAATTCATTTAAATTATAACTACTTCTTTATTAAATAGTCATAATTTTAAAAATTATTTTTCTGTAAGATTAGCTTGTTTCGATAAAATTAGTCACTCTCAAAATTAAATTAATATAAATTAGTAAATCATTAATTAACTAAGCTTTCTAATTTTAATAAATGCACGAAAAATATCTATTGCAACAAAAGGAATTATATTTGAACAGAAAATTGATTCGTGTCTTAAGAACGATACTTATTTAAAAAATTGAGAAAGTAAGTAGTAATATAATATATTTAATTTTGTAAGAAATAACATTTATGAAATAAATTTATCAAGTCAAATAAATAATAAAAAATCTTTTTGTATTCCTATAAAAATTTCATAACATATATATTTTATTATTATTATTAATTTAATTAAATATGGAGAGCCAAAATTGGGTGTCAACACCTGATCCTTCCAAACAAATTTCATCAATTGGTGAAGGGGTAGAAGGCACAGCCCCAGCCATATGGATAAACGGTCTTTCAAGAAGCAAATTGTAGCTGGTATTGATGTCCAACACCTGAAACTCCACATTGAATTCTGCAGGCCCCATCTGAATATCCCAGTTTACTGCCCCTATTGTGTCTCTCTGCACTCCATCAAGAGCTCTCACATTGACCTGGTTTTGTTGAACCTTTCCCAAGTCGAATTTCAGTTGCATGAGAGTCGAAAGTGGGCAGATGTTGAGTCCGGACCCATCGTCGACCAAAACACGATCTATAACTTTATCCCAGCATTTGATGGTGACGTGCAGAGCTTTATTGTGCATCCTCCCTTCAAAGGGCAGCTCTTCGTCACAAAAACTAATTCGATGTCCTCGGATGACCCGATTTATCATGGCTACTAAATTGTCACTGTTGGTACCCACAGGCACATAAGTATCATCCAAAACCGTCAGTAGAAACTGCCTATGTAACTGCGAACTCATCAATAAGGCCCACACAAAGATCTGAGCCGGCTTCTTCTCCAAATGCTTCACAATCGAATAATCTTTCGGCTGCATTTTTCTCCAGAACTCCTCGGCCTCGGCTTTACTGATCGTCCTTTTTGTTTGGTCCTTCTTCTGCCCTCCTTGAGCTAACTCTTCCGGCGTGCAGCACCTGCCAGATCTGGTCATACCCTGGGTAACAGCCGTTTCAATCACAAACTTTGGTTGGGTAAGAGTTTCTCGCGGCACCAAGGCAACAGCCTTCTCAGGTGTCAGAATCACAAACTCTTTCTTCTCTCTGATGCTCAACGAAGCTACAACACTTTCCAGTTCATCAGGGGCAATCGAAACTATTGCCTTCGTCACGCACCAGTCATCATATGTCTCTATCATATTGATAGTGGCGCCTCCATGATTTGGCAAAGGATTACTATTGACATTGGGTGCAACTGTCTGAAGAGAGACCACATTCTGGTCAATCAGGTCTTGGATCTTATGTTTCAGGTTGACACAGTCCTCGGTATCATGTCCAACACTGTTGGAGTGACACGCACACCTCTGATCGGGTCTGTAAAACCTTGAGCTAGTGTCGACCGGCTTGGGACCCACTGGATGAATATATCCTGCCGCATTTAATAACTCGAACAGCTTTGTT